GAAATGTCCTGGGAAGTACCGTGTGCGTCCACTCGTCCATTTCCATGTGGTCTACAAGCCCAATGCCTCAGTGCTGTAGAAAAGGGTCATTTACTTTTCTTGGCATAAGACAAGTGGATTTCTAATGTACCATACTGAGAGTGATGTTCTGCAAGAATCTGCTACCTGATGATGATGACCATGATTTCTAAACGAAGCTCATACCTTTAAACAATGAAAATCAGATATGAGAGAAAGAACATTGACATCATTTTTCTGAGAGACCCCAATTTTGATCCCCAGCAGCAAACTTAGCTAGAGTTAAAAGCCAACATCACAGCAGTCTAAACATTCCTATCCCAGGTTTAGCAGCCAGCAAAGTGTTCCAATTCTCAGGGTAACAGTAGCAGTGTGATTATATGTCCCTCTTGTTTCTCCTCTTTGTGTCAAGTGTTGAGTGTCATCATGATCTTTATATGTCCCTCTTGTTTCTCCTCTTTGTATCGGGTCTTGAGTGTCACCATGATCTTTATATGTCCCTCTTGCTTCTCCTCTTTGTATCGGGTCTTGAGTGTCACCATGATCTTTATATGCCCCTCTTGCTTCTCCTCTTTGTGTCGAGTGTTGAGTGTCACCATGATCTTTATACGTCCCTCTTGCTTCGCCTCTTTGTGTCAAGTGTCACCATGAACTTTGGTCACTCACCCTCTGCATCAGTCTCTTCAGACTGTATAATCTACTTGCACTTCCGTAATTTTTCACTTGCCCCCAAATGGTCTCAACCACATCTAGCATGTCAGGCATCCTTTTCTTCTTCTGCGGGTGGCAAGCTATGTTGTGGTTTTCAGCCATCCTTTCTGTTACAGATAATGCTTCTTGCCAGGGGTTTTCAACCATCCTTTCTGTTACAGATAATGCTTCTTGTCAGTGGTTTTCAACCATCCTTTCTGTCACAGATATTGCTTCTTGCCAGTGGTTTTCAACCATCCTTTCTGTCACACAGATATTGCTCCTTGCCAGTGGTTTTCAACTATCCTTTCTGTCACACAGATATTGCTCCTTGCCAGTGGTTTTCAACTATCCTTTCTGTCACACAGATATTGCTCATTGCCAGTGGTTTTCAACCATCCTTTCTGTCACGGATATTGCTGCTTGCCAGTGGTTTTTAACCATCCTTTCTGTCACAGATATTGCTGCTTGCCAGTGGTTTTCAACCATCCTTTCTGTCACAGATAATGCTGCTTGCCAGTGGTTTTCAACCATCCTTTCTGTCACAGATAATGCTACTTGCCAGTGGTTTTCAACCATCCTTTCTGTCACAGATAATGCTGCTTGCCAGTGGTTTTCAACCATCCTTTCTGTCACAGATAATGCTGCTTGCCAGTGGTTTTCAACCATCCTTTCTGTCACAGATAATGCTGCTTGCCAGTGGTTTTCAACCATCCTTTCTGTCACACAGATATTGCTCCTTGCCAGTGGTTTTCAACCATCCTTTCTGTCACAGATAATGCTTCTTGCCAGTGGTTTTCAACCATCCTTTCTGTCACAGATAATGCTGCTTGCCAGTGGTTTTCAACCATTATTTCTGTCACAGATGATGCTCCTTGCCAGTGGTTTTCAACCATCCTTTCTGTCACAGATAATGCTTTTTGCCAGTGGTTTTCAACCATCCTTTCTGTCACAGATAATGCTGCTTGCCAGTGGTTTTCAACCATCTTTTCTGTCACAGATAATGCTGCTTGCCAGTGGTTTTCAACTGTTCTTTCTATCACAGATAATACTCCTTGCCGTTGGTTTTCAACCATCCTTTCTGTCACAGATAATGCTCCTTGCCAGAGGTTTCTAACCATTCTTTCTGTCACAAATGATGCTCCTTGCTAGTGGTTTTCAACAGGAGGCCCAAAAAATGGTGGGGGAATTTCACCCCCTCCCTTCCTGGCACAAGAAATTTCAAGGGAATGTCAAGCAATTTTGAAACTAAGGGCCTTGTAATCATCTGTTATGCTAACATCTGTTTTCTGTTTAGTTGTAAATAAAATATTTACAAAACAAAAAGCCATGGATGCTTTTGTTTTCATGAGCAGTTTCTACATCTACTATGAAAAATCTAATAAATTATTTCACACTTTGATTAAGGTAAATGTTTTACTCTTAGTTGTTGATAAAAGCATTAGGATTCTTATGTGTATCCTATATACTCGTTACTTAAATAACGAAAAATTGTGTCTTAAATTGGGGGAAAAAACTTGACTGTCTGAGGGTAGCTACACACAAATGAGCCAGTAAAATGGATTCACACACAAAATGCAGGCCTGTGCACAAAGCCAAAGCCCAAAGGGACGAACAACTCGGACTTTAAGCCAGAACCTACAGCTGTTAAACAAAGAACAAGATATGTGAAGAAAAACATGCTACTGAGAGCAATATATGGATATATAAAGGGTTATGTCACTTGGGAGTAAAGTTTGTGTATAAGCAATATTTATGTCCCTTGGAATTTAGATTTAAACATAAGCGGGATAATATGTACACTGGATGCAAACGAATTTGCTAGGTTCACAGGATCAAGGACATTATAGCCGTGCAATAGGAGGAAACAATGTGGGGTTCATCAATGAATGGGAAACCAAGGTCTTCATGCTAGGGACAAGAAAATACATGTGGAGATAGTGAAATGTGTGTTGATATTAGAGGCTATGTGTTGATATTAGAGGTTATGTGTTGACATTAGAGGCTATGTGTTGACATTAGAGGCCATGTGTTCCCATTAGAGGCTATGTGTTGACACTAGAGGCTATTTGTTTATATTAGAGGTTGTGTGTTGACATTAGCGGCGATGTGTTGATTTTGAAAGCTCTGTGTTGACATTAGAGGCTCTGTGTTGACATTAGAGGCTGTGTGTTGACATTAGAGACTGTGTGTTGACATTAGAGACTCTGTGTTGACATTAGAGGCTCTGTGTTGACATTAGAGGCTATGTGTTGACATTAGAGGCTATGTGTTGACATTAGAGGCTATGTGTTGACATTAGAGGCTATGTGTTGACATTAGAGGCTCTGTGTTGACATTAGAGGCTCTGTGTTGACATTAGAGGCTCTGTGTTGACATTAGAGGCTATGTGTTGACATTAGAGGCTATGTGTTGACATTAGAGGCTATGTGTTGACATTAGAGGCAATGTGTTGACATTAGAGGCTATGTGTTGACATTAGAGGCTATGTGTTGACATTAGAGGCTATGTGTTGACATTAGAGGCTATGTGTTGACATAAAAGGCTATGTGTTGACATAAAAGGCTATGTGTTGACATAAAAGGCTATGTGTTGACATTAGAGGCTATGTGTTGACATTAGAGGCTATGTGTTGACATTAGAGGCTATGTGTTGACATAAAAGGCTATGTGTTGACATAAAAGGCTATGTGTTGACATAAAAGGCTATGTGTTGACATTAGAGGCTATGTGTTGACATTAGAGGCTATGTGTTGACATTAGAGGCTATGTGTTGACATTAGAGGCTATGTGTTGACATTAGAGACTGTGTGTTGACATTAGAGGCTGTGTGTTGACATTAGAGACTGTGTGTTGACATTAGAGACTATGTATTGACATTAGAGACTATGTGTTGATATTAGAGACTATGTGTTGACATTAGAGACTGTGTGTTGACATCAGAGGCTAGTGCTAATATTAGAGGCAGTTCACTCTATGAAGTCAGAGGAGCAGTTGACTGCCTGAAGTCAGAGGATCTGTTGACTGCATGAAGTCAGAGGAGCAGTTGACTGCATGAAGTCAGAGGAGCAGTTGACTGCATGAAGTCAGAGGATCTGTTGACTGCACGATGTTGGAAAAGGATGCACCGACAAGAGTCCCTGAGAATCGATGCTATTCTTAAGTGCACCACTAAAGGGTGTTATCAGGGAGCTCTGTTGATGTGTGTGAGTATAGGTGCTAGTCTGGGTGTCCCAGTCTAGACCTGTGCACCTATGTGTCATGCTGGGTGATGGAATCAAGTGTTCATGTTGTCTATGGGAATTTCTACAGTAACAAGATTCTAGCATGATGGATTTTTGATGTGAGATATTAAGGATATCACGAGGTAACGTGACAGTCCACAGATGGGAGGTCTCGATCGTTCTTCATAAGATATTGTGCATCGGCCTGAATGTTCTCTAGTGACAGTATCTCTAACGTCTAGGGGGTTGTCAAAGTCACAGTCATGTTAATCACAAAGGTGGATCTGCACAATCAGGTACTGAAAGCTAGTAGCAGCTACAGAACATAGTTGTGACAGGAGGAGTCCTTCAGAGCAGCCTCTTGAATGCTACATGACCCAGAAGGAAGAATGACTGTAGTATTGTGTAAATCATATATGGTGATACAAACCATTTCATGTTGTCGGTGTTTGAATACAGTCTATAGTCTTTGGTGATAGACCTGTGATCAGAGTCATCTGTTACTGTTGAGTGGAAGCTGTTACCTGTGAGTCCTCACATTAGTGAGCTAACCCTAGACCATTTGGCAAGTGTGAGTGTCAGACAGCCTGAATACAGGGTATGTAGGAAGACTGGACATCACACGCATCATTGGGAGACAAATATATTCCTAACATTTATGTGAAGAATAACAGGTTATATGTGAAGAATAACAGGTTATATGTGAAAAGTACAATCAGACAGTTACCGGTTTTATCAAAACTGAAACTCTTTAACTGCTGCTGAAGATGGAAATAGAGCACTTATAGGAGTGTCCCAAGTGCTGTGATTTTGATTCTTAATTCAACATATGTGAAGAGTAACAGGTTATTTGTGTTAGAGTAACAGGATGTATGTGAAGAGTAACAGATCATTGTGAAGAGCAACAGGTTAAATGTGTTATAGTAACAGGTTTTATGTGAAGAGTAACAGGTTTTATGTGAAGAGCAACAGATCATATGTGAAGAGTAACAGGTTATATTTGAATAAGAACAGGTTAAATGTAAAGAAATCTCCGTGGTGAAGACACACACACACACACAGCACTTACCTGCACATAGAATGGTGGAGTTTCAAACAAAGTGAACAGATCTAAAACAAGCTGATCGCTGACGGCCAGTGTGGAGGCAAAGGTGTTCACTTCAGCGCTAGACAGGCCCTGAAACAATACACAACAACTGTACCCACAGCTAAACTCCGATTTTCATGCCAGTGTTTTTTTAATGTCTGCTATCAAGCACAATATATTTTTTCATCATCTTGTTGTGTTATCCTATCATTATACATCTCATATGACTCGCAAGTTATTCTTGTTATCCTATCTTTATTCGTCTGATATGACTCGCAATCGATTCTTGTTTTCCTATCATTATACATTTCATATGACTCGCAATTAATTCTTGTTATCTACTCATTACTCATCTCATATGACTCGCAATCAATTATTGTTATCCTATCATTATTCATCTCATATGACTCGCAATCAATTCTTGTTATCCTATCATTATTCATCTCATATGACTCACAATTTTTCTTGTTATCCTATCATTATACATCTCATATGACTCACAATCAATTCTTGTTATCTAATCATTATTGATCTCATATGACTCACAATCAATTCTTGTTATGCTATCATTATTCATCTCATATGACTCGCAATCAATTCTTGTTATCCTATCATTGTTCACCTCATACGACTCCCAATCGATTCTTGTTATCCTATCATTAATCATCTCATATGACTTGTAATTGATTCTTGTTATCCTATCATTATACATCTCATATGACGCCTAATTTATTCTTGTTATCCTATCATTATTCATCTCATATGACTCGCAATAAATTCTTGTTATCCTATCATTATTCATCTCATATGACTCGCAATAAATTCTTGTTATCCAATCATTATTCATCGCATATGACTCGCAATCGATTCTTATTATATGATTCGCAATTGATTCTTCTTATCCTATAATTTGTCTCATATGACTCACAATCAGTTCTTGTTATCCAATCATTATTCATCTCATATGACTCGCAATCGATTCTTATTATATGACTCACAATCGATTCTTGATATCCATCATTATTCGTCTCATATGACTCGCAATCAGTTCTTGTTATCCAATCATTATTCATCTCATATGACTCACAATCGATTCTTCTTAACTTAAAATTATTCATCTCATATGGCTCGCAATGAATTATTGTTATATGACTCGCAATCGATTCTTATTATATGATTTGCAATCGATTCTTCTTATCCTATAATTATTCGTCTCATTTGACTCGCAATCAATTCTTGTTATCCTATAATATTTTTTATTTATCTCAAATGACTCACAATAAATTCTTATTATGTGACTTGCAATTGATTCTTGTTATCCTATCATTATTCATTTTATGTGAATCGCAATTGATTTTTGTTCTTTTTCTTCTTCTTCATGCTGAAGGGCTGTAAACTCAGGCAGAAAGTTCTGGTTGTTCATCAATTTTTAGACTTCAGTCTTGTTCCACACCTTGATTTTTTTTTTTTTTTTGCACATCTGTTTTATAGATCTGACTTATTTTTATGCAGACGGTTGGTTTTTTTGCCTCTCAAGCAGATGCACAGCTCGAAGAAACACACCTAATTAGTCGAAAGAAACACACCTAATTAGTAGACTTCTATGACATGATACAGACGAAATATCAAACCTTACAAGTCTAACATAAGATAAACTGAGGAAACAAACAGGATCCCCAAACATACAACTTTAACCTCCCAGCAGATAAATGACCAGATAAGATCCCCAACTACATAAGTCTAATTTCCCAACAGATAAACTGATTAAACACAAAGTCTATACCTTATACCAGTAAAGTCCAGTGCATATTCATACCTTGTACTCAGCCAGCCACTCCTTGATTTCTGCACTTAACATCCTGTGTGCTCAATGTTTCTAGCAAGACAACAAAAACACAATCCACATTTCTCTCCGTCCGCTGGACTCTCTGCAGCCTGCTGGCAACAATTTTAACAAATTTGCATCAACAATTAATCATTAAACACGACAGGAGCATTAACAACTAAAACAAATGTGTATGTATGAAAACTGTGGCTTCTGAATTAAGTTTGTTGAACAGTCCTGTCCTACATGATCTCATCAAGGAGAACTGGCTCATAAACAACATCCTGACTAAAAAGCTGAGGTATTAAATGTCACCTTGGCCTGGAGAGAATGATAAGGGAGGGTATCTTCTTGTGCCTCTCTAGCCCCCAATGGAGCAAAGGTCCTTAACCAACTCACGCCAAGTCGTTCTATAAGAGGGCGGGTATCTTCTTCTTGTGCCTCTCTAGCCCCCAATGGAGCAAAGGTCTTCAACCAACTCATGCCAAGTCGTTCTATAAAAGGGCGGGTATCTTCTTCTTGTGCCTCTCTAGCCCCCAATGGAGCAAAGGTCCTCAACCAACTCACGCCAAGTCGTTCTATAAAAGGGCGGGTATCTTCTTCTTGTGCCTCTCTAGCCCCCAATGGAGCAAAGGTCTTCAACCAACTCACGCCAAGTCGTTCTATAAGAGGGCGGATATCTTCTTGTGCCTCTCTAACCCCCAATGGAGCAAAGGTCCTTAACCAACTCACGCCAAGTCGTTCTATAAGAGGGCGGGTATCTTCTTCTTGTGCCTCTCTAGCCCCCAATGGAGCAAAGGTCTTCAACCAACTCACGCCACATCGTTCTATAAAAGGGCGGGTATCTTCTTCTTGTGCCTCTCTAGCCCCCAATGGAGCAAAGGTCCTCAACCAACTCACGCCAAGTCGTTCTATAAGAGGGAGGGTATAGTTTCAGTAAAATGAAGCAGATTCAGATCTCAGCGAAGGTGAATGCATGACAATAAAGATACACTGGCTATGAAAGCACATAGGGCTGGAGAACTGGCTAGAGAAAGAGACTTTCTGGCACTCTTTGAGGAGACACACATTTGGTAAAGGACCTGCTGATGGCTGATGATGATGATTCATCACTTCTATGGCAGTATAGGACATGTGGCTGTGACAACAAAGCCTATTTTTCACAGGCAAAGAGAAGGAAAGCAGTTGTCTTTGCTGTATTTGTATTCAGTGATTACTTCCTGTCAAGGAAAAATCCTTTTGTGGAAAATTATGAATACAGATATTTAAAAATCATGTTTTTGGAGGGGCCACCTCGAGATCCATTTTCGTCCTTAAAAGGATGAAATTTTTTTGTTTTTTGAAGCCCTACCCTGGCTTTGCCAGAGGCCGCAATATAGGCAGGCCATAAATATGGCCAATTGTCTGAACGCGGTTTCTGGGACCTCTCCACTGCGATCCTCATCCACATGGTGGCACTTTGTGTCATCGGGTGTTTATCGCTTGTGTGATGTCCTGGTGGGGTAGAAAGTCAGTCAGTCAGGGGCCACCTGATCGCTGTAATGTCACAGTAACCTGTCTGCAGTTTAGAGTGTTCATCAAAGGCCTTCTCTGGGAAATTATCACTTTTCTAATTTATTATTTTCCAGTTTGTGTGCCTGCTTTATTATTCATTTTTACAAAGAAGATACAAATAATAGATTTCTCAATGTAGTGCCGACACATTTCTTTGTCTCTCATCAGGTGCATAAAAATAAAGACAATAAATTAATCATTCACAAACGAAATGCAAAATCCACCAAGTTCAAAAGTAACTCAGTTTTTCCACGGCAAACACAGTTTACAACCATGTCTTTAGGTTTGCACAAATTCTGATGGAAGGATTTTTTTTTTTTTTTTTTTTTTTTTTTTTTTAATTAACTAACATTCAGACTGTAGTTTTCCAACCACAAACCCAGCACATATGCTACCAAAGGTTGCATAGCCATGATGATGAACATACTAAACTCAGGCAGAATTATGAAACAAGTATGCCAGTAGACTTGTACAATGATAAGAATGTAGATGTAGGAAAATGGTAGCTTTAGGATATGGTGTTTGATTCAAGACTGAAGCATGTTGGACTAGAACCCAGATGTAGATGGCTGACACAAACACTGAAAGTTAAGGATGTTCATAAGACAACTGACACAAATGCTGAAAGTTGGGGATGTTCGCAAGATGACTGAAACAAATGCTGAAAGTTGGGGATGTTCACAAGATGACTGACAAAAATACTGAAAGTTTGGGATGTTCACAAGACGACTGACAGAAATACTGGAAGTTTCGGATGTTCACAAGACGACTGACAAAAATACTGGAAGTTTCGGATGTTCACAAGATGACTGACATAAACACTGAAAGTTTGGGATGTTCACAGGACGACTGACAAAAATACTGAAAGTTTCGGATGTTCACAAGATGACTGACACAAATACTGAAAGTTGGGGATGTTCACAAGATAACTGACACAAATACTGAAAGTTTCGGATGTTCACAAGACAACTGACACAAATACTGAAAGTTTGGGATGTTCACAAGACTGACACAAATACTGAAAGTTGGGGATGTTCACAAGACGACTGACACAAATACTGAAAGTTTGGGATGTTCACAAGACGACTAACACAAATACTGAAAGTTTGGGATGTTCACAAGACGACTGACACAAATACTGAAAGTTGGGGATGTTCACAAGATGACTGACACAAATACTGAAAGTTTGGGATGTTCACAAGATGACTGACACAAATACTGAAAGTTGGGGATGTTCACAAGATGACTGACAAAAATACTGAAAGTTTAGGATGTTCACAAGATGACTGACACAAATACTGAAAGTTTTGGATGTTCACAAGACAGATAACATAAACACTGAAAGTTGGGGCTGAAAGTTAGGGGTGTTCTGCTTTCCCTAATCACAAGTTTGTGTTTGGAAATGCTATGAGCATGTATGCAAAATATTTCAGCAGATGAAAGATGTATGGAGTAGGCCTAGCAAATACGTTTCAATAACCGAAAATCAACTCACAACCAAACACTAAAAAAAGAGGTGAGTTATCCTCCAAATAACGGGCACAAAAGATGGCGGCCACAAAACACCCTAACAGAGCCTCAGTCACGTGTCAATTGCTCACTTCTAGTGACTTAATTTGTGGTTTTCCTGGGACTTCAGCCACCGCTGATGGTGTTCTTCATGCCGTTCATGCAGCGTGGATTGGGGCTAAACTAGATGGCTGGGACTTACGAGCAGCAGCTTCCGCATCTCTTGCAGCTTTGCTCGTGAGTCCTAGCCATCTAGTTTAGCCCCAATCCACACCATGGGTCATGCGCAAGTGCATAAATAACGCAAATTTAGGCATTACATGGGTTGACAAAATTCTGGAAGACCTAGACTTCGCCGACGACATAGCACTCCTGAGTTCAGAACACACAGACGCCCAAGAAAAAATCAATCGACTCCAGAATTTCTCAGAACAAATTGGACTCCAAATTAACACCGCAAAAACAAAAATTCTAGACCTTACCAACAGTTCATTTGATATCACGCTGAACAACAACAGCCTTGAAAAAGTCAACAGTTTCACTTATCTAGGGAGCAAGATGTCATCTACAGGAGATACCGCACCAGAAATAGAATTACCATTTAGAAACACCATTTAGAATAGCACTGGCATCTAGTGCCTTCAATAAACTGTCTAACATCTGGAAATCAAAGACACTTAGCAAACACACAAAACTCAAGATCTTCAATTCTTGTGTGATTCCAGTACTAACCTATGGATGCGAGAGCTGGAAATCAACGAAAACTCTAGACACAAAATTAGACAGTTTTGAAAATAAATGCCTTAGAAGAATACTAAATTTCAAATAGTCAGATTTCCGAACCAATACACAAATAAGGCAAGAATCCAGGCAAGAGTATGTGTCTAATTTTATACGAAAACGCCGCTGGAACTATGTCGGCCACACCCTTAGAATGGATAAATCAAGACTTCCTTACCAAGCCCTCATTTGGACACCACAGGGGAAAAGATCTCGTGGAAGACCAAGGGAAACCCTACGTAGAACTTGACACGTAACTGAGGCGCAGTTTTTGGCCTCCATCTTTTGTGCCCGTTATTCGGAGGATAGCAGAGAAGTGGAAAATCAGAAGAAGAAGAGAAAAAGTGAGAAAAGTAAAAGGAAAAGGGGTGAAGCACATGAGTGAGAAGAAATTTGAAAAGGCAAAGGAGCATAAGGAAAATAAGGACAGAACTTCCAGAAGAAGAAGAAGAAGAAGAAGAAGAAGAAGAAGAAGAAGAAGAAGAAGAAGAAGAAGAAGAAGAAGAAGAAGGAGGAGGAGAAGAAGAAGAAGAAGAAGAAGAAGAAGAAGAAGAAGAAGAAGAAGAAGAAGAAGAAGAAGAAGAAGAAGAAGAAGAAGAAGAAGAAGAAGAAGAAGACGAAGTGTAATCATTATACTGTAATGAAATGCATACACAGGCATGCATTTAAGCAAAGTTAACTCACAGCTAGTTAGTTAGAGACAAGACCGAAAGCTGCCCTCTCAATCTTCGTTCAGCGTCCTGTATTATTCCCAAGACAGGCCAACCTTATTCACGAAACGAAATTCACTTCACTAAACTTTGCCAGTTGTGGGAGAGAAACTCAGTCGCGTCGCTCGCTCATTTCGCATTCCAAATATCAAAGCCCAAATCCTTTTATTCCAGGAAACCGGTAAAATAAGAGCATGCGCTTGTATGAAGAGCTTTTAGAAGCCTTCAGAAGCAGTGACCGCTGACAGTTTTTGCATCAACTGATCCCCTAATGTTGAAGTCAATCATTAACGCTCAACTGGTTTGTTGTCATACGGTCACTTCTGCTCCCCGCTGCCGGAAATCGGTCTGCTACCTGTTGTGTCCTTGGTCTTAGCAATTATAAATATCCCTTTGTTTTTAACAAACAAAACAATCTTGGAGTGTAGATAGCTGTTTTTTGTTCTATTTATAATTAAATTTGATAAAAAATATATGTTC